ATTACTTGCAGGGGATGATAGTGCAAGTAATTTTGGATATATTTCGTTAATAGACCATGTTCCGAAAACCCTTAGTTTCCGATGTACAGGGTGTTAAAGTTTTAATTAAAAAAATGTTATTTATTATTATTTCGGAAACCGCTTGGAATATGATAATTATATTTTACAGGCTTAGGCAATTAACAACAATACATGTTTTGTGATAAAAATTGTGTTTCCAGTGGCATGGGTACAGGCACGTCTGTAGATAATTTTAAATAGAAAATAAGTGACGCCACTGATTTTTCAAACAATAAACATCTTGATTCAAATTTATGTTCAATTTGGAAGAGAGATCTCTTTACCTTTTTTTCTACGGCGCCCCGTAAATTTTAATTTTATTAAATAGTTGGCTCTGCACTAGTTTTTGTCACTGATTGACAAAATTAATAATTTTTATTATGATATATAATAATAAAAATATGTGTGCCTTTGCAAACACCTATCGAAGGGTCCTTGAGTCAGCAAAAGTACAAGGCAGACAAATCCACGTAGAATCTCCAGCAAGTCACGGTACTAATGACGAAGAAGTAGGGGTTTGAAGAAGATCCGATGACTAGCGTACGGTATCACAGTGGAAAGTTCGAACCAAGGACCCGGACCGGAACCGATATGGACCCAAAACCGGAACGGAACCAATTTTTTTTTGTACCGGAACCGTAACGGAACTTTTATTTGATATTAACACACTGTTTTTCGGTTCTGCTTGTAACGTTTAAATTTTAGAGGAACAATTATTTGTGACCAAGCGACTTTTCAATCGAAAATTGTTCTTTTCGACTTTCAACACCATACGTGTATACACTATTTTTTTAATTCTTTTTTAAGTTGCATTATTCTAGTTTTTCGATCACCAACAAGGAAACATTTGAAATTGAAATGTTGGACAAAAGCAACTCCTCAAAAGATGGTCAAGACGTAAACCAGGAAGAACAATGTTTAAACGGAAATAAGAGTGAAAGAAGAGGAATTGACGAAATTGTGGATCTGAGTGAAAACTGAAAGAAGAGAAAAGCGCTAAAGTCAGAAACTTCATTGACAAATCACTTTTAAAAAATACAACGATTAAATTAATTTTTGTATGGGAGTCTTTATTTCTATGTTGTTCCATTTAATGTTACCTGAATTTCATTCCTTGTGTGGGGTTGCTAGTCCTCCTACACTCCTACCGCCTACCATACAACCAGCCGAAGTACCGTATGAAGCAGTGGATCCTTGTATAATACAACAAGAATGGAAAAAGATAGTGAGATTCCTTTTTAGTTGAGTATCTTTTTTAATAATTTTTTTTTATATTTTCTTTTTTCATTTATTCCAGGACGTTCAGATCAAATTAAACGAGTAGGTAAAAAATTTAATATTAGGACTATCTTCAAAATTGAAAATACAATTAGAAGTAAAATTTCAGTAACTAAACCTCATGACATAATTGAAAATACAAACAATGTAATTTATAAAATTCCTTGCAAATGCAATAAATTTTATATAGGAGAAACCTCAAGACCATTACACAAAAGACTCAAAGAGCACCAATCATAGATAAAAACAGAGAATATCATAAATCACACATTTGATAATTGCCATAAAATTCAATGGAATAATTCCACAATTTTAACAAAAGAACAATCTACAAAAAAACGTAAAACTAAAGAAAGCGCGCTAATTTTACTAAATCAATATAATTGTGTTGCTTCATGTTCATTGAATTTAAGTCATACATGGTTACCTATGCTAAAATCTGAAGTAGACCAGAGAAACATATATCCAAATTAAATTTACACCAAAATTATTAATTAACATTACCTTTATTAATTTAAACAATGAGATTAAGTCAAAGTCACATAACTGACAATTTGCACAGACGAATTATCAGAGCGAATTTTCATATACTGTAATATCCTACTATTGTTACACACTTTATTAACATACTCTTTTTTAGGTTCATTTAGGTTCTTTTGATAACGATAGCAGAAAATAGCTATCGAAATGTCAAGGTAATTTTTCAAATTAATTTCT